TTTTATTATTGTTAATTTTTTTTTTTTTTTTTTTTAAATATTTATTGTAATGAACGGTATTTGTAAACCCATGTTTTTTGTTCATACCAATAACAAGTTATTTTGTCTTCATATTTATCATCTAAACTAAAATGAGATAAATACCACCAATCAGGAGCTCTAATAACTCTTACAGTATTTTTTTCAGTATACCAAATACCTACAAATTTTTTTGGAGTAATAACTAATAAAGGATTATTGTTTCTGTCTAATCTTGCATATTCATAATTATGTAAAGAAGCCAAATATTTAAAGTGTTGAGTATATTTTTCAACACGCATCTCATCAATACTCATTTGAAGATGATTCCATTTATTTAATTCAACAAATGAGTCATTAACAGGATCATATGTAGTTTGATACATTAAAAATGGTAAATTTTCATAAACTGAAGCATGTTGTTCAATTAAAAATTTCAATTTACTCATCTTGTCAATATGATTATAAATTGAATTTTCTAACATATAACGATCCCAAAGACTTACTAAACCAGCTGGCATTTTAGCATCATCATGTAAAGCATGTTTAAATTTACATGGAAATTGCTTATGAAAAACCAAATATTTTCTTTTTTTAATAATATATAAATCTTTTAAACAGTTATAAATCTTATGACTTAAAAATAAAATAGCAGTCAATGGAATCATAGTAAAGATAAAATACCAGAAAGGATTAGAAAAATAATTAACTGTTTCTTCAACTGAAGGTACATGTACATTTATATCAAAATCTTTATCTAATGTATGAGAATTAACACTTGCTCTGAAATGTAAAGTTTTATTTAAATACATTGTGATAGGAAGCAGAAAAGATAATTAAAAATAAAAAAGAAGTAGAAATTTAAAGGTTTGTTTGTATAAAAGTATTTGAATATTAAAATATTAAACACTTTGATGGTTTTGTTTTCTTATAAATGTGTTCTTCTTGATTTTTTTAAAAGGAAAAAGTTACAAATCGTATTATTATTTAAAAAAAAAAATATACCTCATCTTTATATAGAATTTTTATTTTTTTATTAATTAAAGCACCTAAGGGATTGCATTATTTAAACTTTTTTATAGAAAAAAAAAATAATAAAAAAAGATCATTTCCTAATAAGGACATTCAAATAATTAATAAAAAAACGGAAATAAGAAAAATAAAATAATATTAAAAAAAAAAACAAATCATACTATAAACTTTAAGCATATATGAAAACAATATAATCAAAAAAAGAAAAACAGACCTTAAATACTATAGTTATAAAGGAATATTATAATTAATTAAAAAAAATAATTAAAGTTTGTAAGACAGAAATTATTAATATATCTTATATAAAATAAAAAAAAATTATTCAAAAGTTAATAAGTCGTCACAGACAGGATTCGAACCTACGTGGCCAAAGACCATTGCCTTAGCAGGGCAACCCGTTAACCACTCCGGCACTGTGACTTATAAACTTTTGAATAAAATTTATACAATAAAAAATCGTGTTAAAGAGGCTTAGTTGTTTAATCAAAATATTAGTCAAAAAACACTTATTTTATATTTATTTTTAAACAATTTAAACTATTAGAGGATAATCAACTAAAAACAATTAGTATATATATATATATATTCTAAAACATAGACAGTTTATAAATTTGTTATAATTTACCAGTAACTTTTATTCTGCTAGAATATCTTTCTCTTTATTTTCTAAATCATTTTCTTCCTGTAAAAAGTCAGGCTCTTGTTGTGTTTCGCCACCATCTAGTATACCTAAATTCTCCAAGTAAGAACCACTACTAACACCATTATTGAGTTCAATATTATCATTTTCTTGCATTAAATAATCCAATTCATCATTCAATTCATCATCATCAATAGCATCTTGATTATTACCCATGTTCAAGATTTCATTGATTTCATCTGTTTGCTGCATCATATCATCCATTTCATCTTTTAAGTCATATATAGAGTCAACATTCAAAAGTTTACTATTATTCTTATTAAATTGCTTAAATTGTTTAACTTGTTGCTGCTATGTTATTAACATACTCAAGTTAGTCTTTACATTTAAGTTACTTAATTTCTGTTGTTGTAATATTCATTAAGGATTTCATACTGACAT